ATAAATGTAAATTTTAGGAAAGTGAAATTGGATGAAGTATAATTGTTATTATTAATGTTAAAAAATGAAGCAAGCAACCTAATTTCCATTCACTGTACATAATCTTAATTTAGTTGTTTCATTGGGATGAAAGAACAAGATCTCAAGGGATTTATCCTAATAAATACATTTGATTACCTGAAACTGGCTGACAACCTAATCAAATACCATTTAATTACTAGATGTCTCCCACCTGACTTCTCCATCAACACCCTTTCATATGACCCTTTTTATATTGGAATGCCGGTAGGCACCATTTTGGGGCACACGCAATATTTATTCACCAGACAAGATAGTCGACATTATCCAAATTAGTTGCTTAGACATAGTTGTAGAGCTATGGGCTATTATAGAATGAGAGAATACTGAGAATGGAAATAATTACCTTTTTAAATTGGATTATTTAAACCTGAAAATGGCTCAATTAACATGTAGTTAGAGGAAGGATTGTCTATTTATATATACAGTCAAATTTACGGGTTATTACTTAGCCTATTATCTGAAATCATCATTAGCATTTCTTAACATTGCTCCTGTAATTACATACACAAATCCCTATATTTTCTGTGCAGTGTGACAGTTTACACAAGCTGTCTGGAACCAATAATGTTTATCAATAAACCAAATTGTTAACATTGTCACAAACTTGAGCAGCTTCTTTCATTGAGATCTTCATGGAAAATAATTTGTGTTGCACATTCCCCCAAAAAGAAACGCCACTAAGCAATTAACCCCTGTTATTAGCAAGTGTAGTGCAGCTGAAGTTTCAACACCAATTTACGAAGGCAGCCATCCTTGTGCCCTAAAGCACTCTTTGTAATTGTAGCACTCTACATTAATATAAAGTGCTCTTTCACTAATAAGCATCTTTTTGTATGTCGTAACATTTTAATGTTAATTCAAGAATGACTGTGGGATGTGGCACAAAAGGTATTCCAGCATTCAGAAGTCTGTCAAGAAAACATTTCCTTCCTCTGTCAGTTGTCCCTAAAATTAACCTACACCAAAAATTACTCCTAAAACTCTAGATTATTTACTGGATTATATACTAAAACATAACAAAGAGGTTTATTAACACCTTTGTGGCCTTATCAAATAAACTGCACACCATCTGAGAACCTATTGGTAAGACAGCAGCGGTAGTCTGATCTACACTGAGTTTAAACATTATGTACAGTGACCGACACGTCACATCAACAGAAAACATGAATGCAAAAGCCACAACACAACTGCAAAACTGACAACACAAATACAAAAGCCACACAACACTAACACATCCACAACGGAAGTGAATAGTTGACAGTGAGATGTAATTTTCTGAAAACCCAGGCAATCCAGCTGCCACTTGAAATGTGACCCGTCTATTTGAGGTGTTATTGCTGAGGTGCTTGGTTCACCCCAAAGCCATTAAGTTGTTTTCTCCCTTTTTGGGTGCTTCACCTGTATAGACCCGTACATATTGTGTAGACAAATTCATTATTAGCAGCGGCTTGCTTGTCCAGGTTTTCACCAATGATGACTAACATGACTGCAGTAAGTTATTTTGCTTGTTGCGTTGTCAGTATATACATTGCCACTTTCTTCCATTGTGGTTGTGTTTCTGTTTGTGGTTGTGTAGGGGCTTCAGCATTTGGGTTTTCCTTCAATGTGCTTGTGTGAGATATCTTGGCCAATGTAATAATGCACTTTCAGGAAGTTAATTTTTTAATATACCTAAAACATTCATTGACCCATCCCCTTTCTTTGTTTTCCTTGGCTTTTCACCCAAGAATATTCCTCTATATATATCTCTAAATCCCAGAAAGATGCTTTAGTCTTTTCCAACATACAGTATTTGCCGAAGATTGGATATACACAACAGGGGCAGGTAGAAACTATAATTCAGGCTGGAAATTTGACTCCATCCCTGGCTATCTTCCCACAAACCAAGAGACTAAGAGTCCACTAATTTTTACCAGCTGGTTGTCCACCACCAGGGACAAATCATGAAAGAGATATTTCATTTTATTTGGGTTTTTTGCTTTGTTTTTTTAAACTTTCCCTGTTTTCCTCTCATCCAGTTCAGGAGAGGGAGGGGGGATTGTTCAATATTTAACCTTTGCAACTATAATCTCTTATTCCATGAAAAACAAGTTATGAAAAGAAACTAGGTAATTCCAGATTCTTAATTGATACTGTTAGTCAATTACTTGCATTTTGTTAGAATATATTGTACATGTGGAAGATTACACTATCTGTGATGCATTGTGTTGAGCCCAGGGAAATGTAACAATTCACAGAGAGCTAGTGGAGTCACAAACGAAGCCCAGCTACATCCTTCCTCATGCAGTCATATTGATGTTGACTATTCATGAGCGTGCACTCTTTGAGCACTAATATCCGTTGATGGCATGAGAGAAAGACAGTGAAATGTCATTTAGTATTAATTGTGCAGTGGCTTGGCTGGAGTAAACAGAGATGACATTTTATGATATCCATGCCTCTCCCATACACATGGTATTGTCCCAATTCCACACTATAATTAAATTTTCACATAGGGCTTTTTATGGGCTTTCTCTGCTTTGGTCTTGTATGTCAACTCCTGAATATTATACACATTTTCTTAGTACAAGTTGTTGATGTGGATTTTATCTCTGTAAATGTAATGTACTGGACAAAATCCCCTTCTAAAGAGAGATCCCACTAATTGCTGTTTTGAAGACCCTTCGGTGAACCACCTTTGTTGGTTTACATTCAACCAAACAAGACCAGAAACCGAGGTGTGACATGTGGGTCTCGCAATTCCGGCTCTGTCTTTTGCACAGACATTGACAAAGACAGAAGAACAATGCCTCCTCGAATCCCCGTTCATACTACTAATACAGAATCATGTGCAGCCCAAACTTTATCTTCCAGAAAGCAGACTTCACTTGTTTCTCAGTCAGATGGTTTGTAGTGTGTTTTCAGCAGAACACATATTCCTGGTGCACTCAAACAACCTTCTTATCTTCAGGCTGTTAATTCGGGCTAATGTGTGAAAATATTTCATCATGTTAAAGAGGTCAGCGCATTCCATGTGGCCTCTTTTCACTCTGAGCTGATAATCACTATTTGTTCGCTTCAACCAGTTTATAATTGAGCACCAACCACATACTGGCTTCAAAATTATATCCGCAGGTTTGTTTCCTCTTAAGGGCCGGCTGGCCTGTAGCTACACCACAGACAGATTTACACAGAACCTACATGTTATAATTGCAATTGGCTGTTTCCTAAGAAGTGTGTGTGTAAGTTCGTTAGGACATTATCATGAAGGTACAAATGGCACCAGAACAGTGGGTCACTACAATGTCAAACTGTGTCCGTCTTCACACCACACCAATGTTTCTCAATACTTCCAGAGAGTGAACACAGCCACTCATCACGTCTAGAAATGTGTGTTTTATGAGTTCTGTGAATTATTGGACAATGAAAGCTGTCAAAGTTCTGTCCACACTGCAGGGCCTAGGTTTCTGGAGGAGGCTGATAAAAGTCATCAGGATTCATCTTTATGTTTCCACTTCAGGTTATTTCATGTTATAGATAATAGCTCTCATTTAATAGAGACTTACATTGAGAGCACAGCATGTTCACAAGAATACAATGATGCATTTACGATATTTACTTTATTACCTGCTGATGAATGTGCACATCTACAAAATCCAAACAAAACATGGACTCACAACCTTTAGAGTGAACAATACATTCATGAAATAATTGTTTCAGCTCTGTACATAACTCCACACTAGAATCTGATCTGTTTTTAATAGATTATAATAAAAATGGTTGACTCTTTGTCCCTGTAGTTCAAAGACCTGTTGTGGTTTTAAATCTTGTTTAAATCTTTTAAACTGTGTGTTGAAAGGTTATGTT